TTCGATCATGGATTACAAAAAATTCTATCATGGGTTACAAAAAATAACAAAAACAAAAAATTCGATCATGGATTACAAAAAAAAAAAACAATTCGATCATGGATTACAAAAAAATCGATCAAGTATTACAAAAAAATCTATCATGGATCACAACAACAACAACAACAAAAAAAAAAAACCGTACGGACTCGCTTATTCCGTACAGTGAATCGGCGAGTCGCTGTGCAGAATCGTCCGATTCTCTCTAGAACCGGACGATTCCCGTTTTTTTCGCCGATTCGATCTGTCCATGGCGATTCCCGAGTCGAACCGGGCGAGTCCGGTTCGACTCGGCGTTTTTTTAAACACTGGATTGACCTATTGATATTTGGTTTTAATTTGGAAAAACGTTTATATAGGATTGCAATTTTTAAATGTAGAATTAAAGATGTACCTCAAAAATAGAACATGTTGTTTTAATGTTGAAAAACCCTCTAATTGATCATCTCGATATCAAGATATATGAATATAAAAAATAAAAATAAAAGATTTTGAGTCGCATGCATCTTGCAACACATTATCTAAACCATGTATTTTCAATAGTTTTATAGGTTTATAGATCTACTTGATTTTAACTATTTTTTATTTAAAAATTTTATAATTAGAAATGAAAATAGATTTTTAGATAACATTAATAATTTTTACATCAAAATTATATGTTATAATAAAATTTGGAGGTACGTCTTGGATTGTTTCAGGCTGCAACCTTGCATAAACCACACCCTTGAATTTGTCGCTACTTAGTGTTTCAAAACATGAATTGGTATTCACCCATAGATCTAGGTTAGATTGTTGAATCAGTGATTTGGATCAGTCCAAAATAGTGATTTAAACAATATTGAAAATCAAATTAAATAAAATAAAAATAAAAACAATAGTTAATGGAGCGGGGATTTGGAGAGAACCTAAGAAAAAAAATACATAATATTGAAAAAAAAATACATAAAAAAAAGTTTGCATTGGAAACCAGCCCAAGACCCATACCATCCCCTAACTTATTCATGCCCCACCGATTTCCATCCGAATTGCCTACTTGGAAATCGTCAGATTTTAAAACACAACTACCCAAAGTTCCACTGTTTTTGCTTTATTCTCTTTTCAGCAAAATGCCGAAGTACCTATAAATTAGAGATGGGATTTCTACCACTTGGGAAATAATGCCACCGCTAATCTCTTCCATCCTTATGCTTATTAGTTAACCCGGCAAATGATCTAATGCAATTTGTTTCACTAATCTCTGTCATCCTTATGCTGATTATTTAATTTATCCAACCATGTAGAAGAAAAAATCCAGTCATTTGTTGTGAATTCTTTCCAATATATATTGGAAAATTAAATATCAATATGTAGTTTGTATAAGGTTGCAACCTAAAACAATCCAATTAAGGCTCTTCTTTAAATTTTATCATAAATATGATTTTGATATAAAAAATTATTAGGATGGCTTGATAATTTTTTTCATCTCTAATTATAAAATTTTAAACTCTAAAAATGGTTCAAATCAAGTAGATCTATAAACACATGAAAATCTTGAAAATAGACAACTCAGATAATGTCTTGAAAGATACATTATTTCAAGGATTCGAAATCTAATTTTCTTTCCATATTTATACATCTCAATGTCAGGATCATTAATTAGAGGGATTTTTAACATCCAAACAATCTTTTATGATGGATTTTTGAAGTACATCTTTAATTCTAAATTTTAGGCTTGCAACCTTATATAAATTTTTTTCCTAAATATTAATAATCTGCAAAGAATTTATCTCAAAATGTGGGTACAAAAATCAACAGAAGAGGGCTTGCAATAGAAAGGTGGAAATGAGTTGCACCACCACGTCGAAATGTTGATGACATATGAAATGAGTTGCACCACCAAGTCGAAATGTTGATGACATAAGAAGATG